TGCATGTTCTTTTCATGAGGGCGTAATTTTTGGACTAAATAGTTCACATACTTGTGGAAGCATCTAGTTTCTTTGATTCATGTTTTTGAGGTTTAAAAGAAGCTGTAATATGCAGATTATAGCTTACCTTTCTGGTTCGTCACCACATATAAAAAGTGGAGCAGTCTCTGCACTCTCTGTTCTGGTATACAGTGATGCCGATATCTGTGTCTCAGTCCCTGATCTGGTCCCTTCCGTTCTGACTCTGCTGCAGAGTAAAGATGTCGAAGTTACAAAAGTAAGCATGCCTATCCACGACAAGATACTATTTTATTCTTTGATGCTTCTTATAAGCCTGCTATTTTAACTTGTGCAGGCTGTTCTGGGATTTGTTAAAGTAATGGTATCGAGCATTCAAGCAAAGGACCTGCACATTTTGCTCTCGGACATTGTCAATGGAGTGCTACTCTGGTCATCTGTGTCACGGCATCATTTTAGATCAAAGGTTTGTGATGTTTCTTTGATCGGACTTGGAACTAACAATGTATATATGAAGCATGTCCGCGTATTATCTTGCTTAAAATATGCTTATGCTTATGGGTTCTACAGCAGGAGCATGCCACCCCTTTTGTTTTGTAATTAGCTTAAAAGCACCTGTGCCTTTTTTTTTTCTACTTAGATTAGATGTTTATATACTTTTGAAAGACACAATATGTCCTTTATTGACAAAGTCGATGTTTCTGTGCCATCTAAAAGGTCACAGTCATCATGGAGATCTTGATGAGAAAGTGTGGAGTTGCCGCAGTTAAGTCAATTGCAGCTGAGAAGTATAAAAACTTTATCAAGACAGTTGCAGAGGTAAGTTTCTCGTTTTAGACCCGCAGACAAGTTTTTGACAAATGCTATTAGTTTTTGGTGGGGACAGTCATCATGGCTGTTCTTGTTGCAAATGGAAGTATTTTGCCTGAAGTGTGATATCAAGTGTTCCTTTCATCCTATTGACATGGATGTTTCTGTTCACTGTTTTCTTTTTGACAGAATCGCCATGGCAAGACAAACTCTAGAGAAGATGGTACCCCTGAGACAGAATCAACACCTTCGGATTCAAGGTTCGATCCTTGTGCTCATCTTACAGGATCTTTTGCTTATTTCAGATACTTAAGTAAAAAAGTTTTGATCTGACTATTTATCTCCTTATAGGCAGCGGAAACGGAAGGATAGAGAATCTAGTGATTCACTCAAGGAAAAAGACTCTAGGGAACCTTACAAAAGGAAAAAGAGAAAGGAGGACGGAAAAGATTCATCCACGAAATTTGCCAAGGAAGGTGTCACGGGAGGTGGGAAAAGAAAAAGGGAGATGAAAATGAAGAACAACACTGCTGATGAACCTTATTTCTCTTCAGGCAGCAGTGCTGGTAAGAATCTGGTAAAAAGAAAGAGAGAATTCAGTCATCACAAACAGGAAGGTGATAAAGCACCACTACAGAAGAGAGGCGAAGGAGGCAAATTTAAGAGGGGCTTCCCGGGAAAGACAGAAAGGCAAAAAAGGCCAGCTAATGATGTACGAGGTTCAGGTACTGCACACAAAAGGGGTCAGAACAGAAGGCAGAAAACTAATATAAACAGTTAGCATACGTTGCTTACCTGGATACCTCGGATAGAGAATGGAAGAACTTTTCATGTATTCACTGTTGCAAGTAAAAATCGCATGGGGAGGGACGAAGAGCAATCTCTTACTCCAAAGTAGATTGAAATGATGCATGGCTTCTGCTCGGGATATGTATTCAGTGCACCAGTGATGGATTTTCGGTGTCATAACAGTTGCTGGCATCTGAAGATATCAAGAATGTGCCAATGCACATTGCACAAACCATACTTCATATGGTGCAATGTGCCTTGTATACCATCTGTTCCTAAGTTCTATTCTGAGAGCTTAGTGGCAATCAAGTTTTGTTTTATTTTGGTCCCAGTTTAGTTGCAATTTTGTATTCTACAAAGGGTGAGTGAGTATTTATTAGTAGGGTGTCAATGGTTAGGTTCCGCCGGTTATTTTATAAATTTTGCACCGTACTAATTTTTCGGTTATTCTATTATGAATAATCAAAATTAGACTTTTCGAAATTGTCCCAATCATGTCGGTTTTTTTTCGGTATCGGTAAGGTTTGGTAATTTTTTGGTAAGATATCATGTAAAAGTCACTAGTAGAAATATAATGCAATAACATACGTACTTTTATAATTTAGCAAACTCCCTAGATATTTTGACAGTTTAAAAGGTGATGAATTATGAAAATATGAAAGATCGCTAGAGTATAGATCCATCAAATATTCTACAACAACGTAAACGAAACTAAGCAAATATAAATAAAATATAAATCACACAAGTGGAAAGATGTTAACCAAGTTGGTGGCAAATATAAATAAAATATAAATCACACAAGTGGAAAGATGTTAATCAAGTTGGTGTTCAAGAATAAAGTCTATAGAAAATTAAACATTTCAAAAAGATAAATCTAATTCATACGAAAGAAAAAATATATTCAATACATTATAAGTTGCTACTTCTAATCGCTACAACACCTTGTGTCTTGCTAGTGAATATGCTAGAAATAATTTAGTTTCAAAGAAGTAGAATAATAGGTCTGGGAATTAGGATTTTGAGTTTAATTACTTGTTGGCTTGTAACTATTTCATAATTCTAAGGCCCAAGAAAAAAAATTAATGCTTTAATATTTTTAAACTTAACATATAAATATATTTTTCACATTGTAAATTTATTCGGTTTATTTTCATAAAATAAAAAACTTACCCTAATTAATGGTACGGTTATAGGCTTATAAAAACTTACGATTTTATTAAAAGAAACCTAAAAATCGGTTCGATACGGTACGGTTCGATCGATTTAGCCGATTTTTAAATATCCATTGAAACCCTGTTTATTAGGTAGTTTTGAACAATCTTATAAGATGGCAATCTTATATCCATTTGTATCTCCCAGTTGTAGTTGGGAACATAAAGTTTGTTGATATAAAGGCATGGTACAATTCTATTTAATTTTGTCTAGAAAGGGAGAAATTAAAAAATAACCAGATTTACAACTGGTCATTTAAAAATAGCCACAGTTTTAAAAGTAATTGAAATTTAGTCACTTTTCATATAAAAATAAATCTGAGCGAAAACACTGTTCAAAACCCGAAAAATACGCCTGTATATTATACTGGAGTTCCAGCATAAGTATGCTTGAACTCCAGCATATTATACAGGAGTTTCAGGATAACTATGTTGGAACTCCAGCAAAATATGTTGGAGTTCCAGCATAAGTACACTAGAACTCCAGCGTAATATACGGGAGTTCCAGCAAGTATAAATGTCCAGTATAATATACTGGAGTTTGGAGCACCGGTGCTCCAGTCTCCCGTATATTATACAGGAGTCAGCAAAGTATACCGGTCCAGCATAATATGCTGGAGTTCGTACACAGATGCATCGAACTCCCGTATATTATACGGGACCGGTCTCTGTTACAGCAAAATAGTGACTATTTTTCATTGACTTCGTAAACGATGGCTATTTTTGATTGACCAGTCCGAAAATTGGCAATACCGTGCTATTTTGACTATAGAATGGGGTGAGATACTATTTCTGAAAGCGGTATGTTCTTGGACTTGTCACCTTTGTGTTTATGACTATATTTTGGTGCAAGTGCACATATAGTCATTTTCAAGGATGGTATTTAAAAATTAGTCAGTATTTCTTTTTGTTTAGAAATTTTAAAATAAAAATTCTAATTTCAGAATATTTTTATCCTGAAAAATTGAACGGTAAAATTCAGGATACATTGACAAATTTCTAAATAACAGCCCTTCAGAATGACTACGTGTCGTTATTTCTACCTATTTATATTTTCATACTAGTCCAGCCTACCCATGCTTTATAGATGAAGTACACCCATTATTGGGTCTGAAGTTTGAAACTATTGCAAAGTTATGATTATGAGACGACTAACTTTTAAATACATTGTAAATTTGGACAATACTTTAAATAAAAGTCCTAAAAGCCAAAAAAATTTGCATAAATATAATACTTTTTGATGTGGTTTTTAACTTCTAATTTTCCTTGCCCTATAAGCAGAATTTCAAGTTTAACAAATGTTGCATGTAAATGTAATAATAAAAAACTTCAAGCTTAAAGCCCCGTGGGCAAATTTTAAGTCTTTTATTAGTTTATATTTAAATAAATTAAATTATTATTCATATAATATATATTAACTAATCAGCATTTTGATTTTTTTTAATAAATATCAAATATCAAAAGCTTTTAAACTGCATACCAAATGCTATACCGAATAATACAGTCTTTTAAAACACATACCCAATATCCTATGGAACATTGAATTTTTTTTATTTCTACACAATAATTGTGCTTAAACAGGGAAATTGTAAATAGTTAAATATAAACGGCAAAGGACCAATTATATCCCTATACTATGAGAAAATGTTTAAATATTTCCTTTATTATACTTCGGGTTCAAATATACCCTTTTTTCTGTTAAGTTTGTCCAAAGTAGACATTTAATCATACATGACATTGATATTTGATGAAGTGGATGTCACATGATATGCCATCTCAGCGCCCCTAATCCGTATATAAAAGATCAAAATTGAAATACACTTATTTTTTATGGTAGTGGTAATGGTGGCAATAGTAGTGGAGGGAAAAAATTTTTTAGTAGTGGAAAAAATATAGAAGGGAGGGATAAAACGGGTTAGACACTGAGATGGCAAGCCATGTAACATCCATCTCATTAATTATCAGTACCACATAGGATTGAATTTAGATAAACTTAATAAAAAAGGGTATATTTGAGCCAATAGTATAATAATAAGGGTATATATAGATTCAAAATATATAACGAGGGGTCCTTTTTTTCATAGGTAAGACATGGGGCAATAAGCCCGCTTTTATAAATTCCCTGTCTTTCTCGATCGAAAGCTAAGCGTGCCAAACCATCTAAACAAAGTCCTGTTTGTCAAAGAAGAGAGCCAAGACAAGTCACCGGGATAAGAGAAGGTCCTATCCTAATAAGCCGGGGTGTACATTTAAATATTTTCCGACACTTTTCCGAAATATAAATGTAGTTGCTGAAGATACACAATGAAATATTAACAAAATGATTACTTTCACCGAAGGTTTATCCTCAAAACAACACAACCCCAAAACCCAAGACTTCAATGGCTACCATTCAAAATTCTCAAATCTTCCCACAACAACCAAATCCCACATTCAAAACCCATTTCAGAACTGTTGTTACAGTCTGCCAAAGGCAGCAAAAACCCAAAAACAACAAACCCTTTGAGGAGAAGAAGTTAGCTTCAGTTGACTATAACAAAGGGACACATAAAGTAGCTGTGAAAATCAATGGATTTCGCAAATCTGATTTGCCTAAACACCAAAAATTACGGGTCCAAAGTGATAGGTTTCAGAAAGATTGGGCTATTTCTGAACTTGTGGAGAAGATTATGAAGCTTAATCCTTGGGATGATGATATTGAAGGTTTATTGAATTGTTGGGTTGGCCGTTTTGCAAGAAAAAACTTCCCTATTCTTATCAAGGTGATTGAAAAAATTATTCCGTTTGTTTCAAGTTATTTTAACCTATTTCACTAGATACAAAGTTTAAAAAAGGAATGGAACTTCTGAAATTTGTCCTTTTAAACATGTCATAAGGTTTGTGTTGCTATAAGAGTTTCAAAACTTATGGTCTTTAACTATGTCACATTAATGCGGTAGAATCCCACCGGTAGGGACTAGGGAGGGTAGAGTGTTCTGAAGTTTGTCCTTTTAAACATGTCATAAGGTTTGTGTTGCTATAAGAGTTTCAAAACTTATGGTCTTAACTATGTCACATTAATGCGGTAGAATCCCACCAGTGGGGACTAGGGAGGGTAGAGTGTTCTGAAATTTGTCCTTTTAAACATGTCATAAGGTTTGTGTTGCTATAAGAGCTTCAAAACTTATGGTCTTAACTATGCCATATAACATTAATGCGGTTACAACAACAATAACAACCTAGTAGAATCCCACCAATGGGGTTTGGGGAGGGTAGAGTGTACCCAGACTTTACCCCTACTCGGAGGAGTAGAGAGGCTGTTTTCGGAAGACCTCAGCTCAGAGACAATAGATTCGTAGCAACAACAAAAATCAGAAAAATAATATCAGCAACGTGAGAGACAGAACATTAATGCGGTTATAAAAATTTAAGGGTAAAATGGAAAGTTTAAGTTAAATTGCTTTCAAATTTAGAAAAAGGTCATTCTTTTTTTAATCAACTGAAATAGTGTCACATAAACTGAATTGGAGGGACTATTTAGGATTACAAGTTAGTTAAAACTTTTGTTGCTAGAAACATTAAGATAATAATTAAGAAAATACGTAAAAGTTTGGTGTAATTTATTCTTGAAAGCTTTGTTTTTTCTTTGAAAAATGTCATCTTGCTATGTGTAAGTTTTCAGGATGGTGTGTTTATTTGGCAGCTGTAGTGTTATTGTGCTGTTTGCAGAGACTAATACTTAATGCTAGCATAATGAAAGAGTAGCCTCATTGAAAATTTAATAATTTCTTTGTTATATGTAATGTAGGAAATAAGTCAAATGGGTTCAATTGAACATAGCATCCAAGTTTTCAATTGGATGAAAAGTCAGAAGAATTATTGTGCAAGAAGTGATATCTACAACATGATGATCAGGTTACATGCTAGACATAATCGGGTTGATCAGGCACGTGGCTTGTTTTTTGAGATGCAAAAGTGGAGGTACTCTTATTCTTTTGTAACCTTCTACCAATTTTTCTTTGTTGTCATTGGTAATCCAAATTGACATGATTAAGTCTTTGCCATAAGGTAAATGAAGATATGTTTGCAAATTTACTTTAATACTATGATTAAGAAATGTGGCAACTCTATAACAAGAAGCTCAGGTATAAGCGATATGGCAAGTGCAGTTATAGTCTAGTTCATGGTATTGTATAGTTTTGAACCCCTTTTCCAACACCTGGCTCTGCCTCTGAGCTTGTATATCAGGCTAGCACTCATTGATGCTACTTGAGTTCAACTGCTTGTGTTCTTAGTAAAAAGGAGTCTGATCATAAATTCATTAAGAAGATTAAGAACTTAATTGACCTGAAGTCCTTCTTTCCATTTCCTTCCGTTTAATTGGGTGACCTAAACGTAAGTTTCTAGTTTTTCCTATATTTAAGTTGATATAATGCGTGCTGCCAAAATTGGCTAGATTAGTGAACCCAAAAAGAAATAGTAAAAAAACATTTTAATTTAGTCAGTATGTAGTCCTTTCCGATTTATTGATTTCAATATGGTTGTTGCACTCTTATGAATTTGATTTGCACCTCCACTCTATATATTTAGTATTTACACCAATTTGTACTTGCTAAATCAATCATTGCATATCCTTTTTTTTTTCCTGGTGTTCATGATGCTTGTTTTTGTGGTAGGTGCCAACCTAATGTTGAGACCTACAATGCCCTTATCAGTGCACATGGTAGAGCTGGTCAATGGCGCTGGGCAAAGAATATCATGGAAGACATGCTCCGTGCTGCTGTGTGTATTTACTCCTCTTTATTACGATATCTGTGCATATTGATGTGAGTTTTTCCTTTTATTCTTTTTCAATTTGTTTTAACATGTAGATAATATTAAACTCTTCTTTTGTTATATTTATTAGTTGCTTTCCTAAGGCTAGTCCTGAAGCAATGTTCCTTTTCCATGTTCTTTGTCTATATATATTGTTCCCTAATAACTATTTCTTGTCTCTCAAGAATAACAGTTCTATAAAACCCAACCCGCGACACTTAGGCTTAGCCAACTTATGCGGCAAAATCGTACTTGTTTTGGCCAATGTCAAATACATGAATTGGCAAGAAAACATTGCATATATTTCACTCACCAAGCCTTCACAAGTCCAATATGGTTGGACATTGGTGTATTCTCACTGTTATTCGTTGTTGAGGCTTAATCTTGTCCAAACTCTCTAGCTTTCCAGACATTTTGGCTCAAATTTCAGCTCGATATCTGGTTTAGTACCCTTTTGCGGGGCTTCTTCTCTGATAAGGTGCTGAGAACATTGACATTACTTTTTTTTGATAAGGTAAATTGTATTAATCAAAAGGGAGAGAACTTCCGTATACAAGAAGTATACCAAAAAGTAGAGAATTTATATCAGAACATGATTCTCTACAAAAGACGCCCAATCTTCCATACAAATAGGTGCTATATGAGTGCACCAAAAAGCGATCAAAGACAAAAGACTATTCTTAAGATGTGAAAAAGGAGACTCAATCCCCTCAAAAGCTCTCCTATTTCTCTCCCCCCAAACTATCCACATGAGAGCTAACGGGGCGAACTTCCATGCCTTTTTCTTTCTTCTTCTACGGAAACCGGCCTAGCTATATAGCATTTCCTTTACAGTGCCTGGCATCACCCATTGAACACCCAAAAGGTTCATAATCGCCCTCCACAAAGCCGAGGACACAGGGCAATGCAACAAAAGATGATCAACTTCTTCCCCTGAGCTTTTACACATATAGCACCAACTAACAAGTGTAATTTCCCTCTTTCGCAGATTCTCAGCAGTCAAAATCACTCCCTTCGCCGCTAGCCATGCAAAAAAGCACACCTTCGTAGGCGCCTTAGGAATCCAGATCGAGGAGTATGGAAAAGAGGCCTCCTCTCTCACCAACATACTCAGGTAAAAGGACTTTACGGTGAACAGACCATCGCCACGCAAACCCCATCTCCAAGAATCACATGATGGCTGAGGCCTGTCTTGTCCATATAGCAGTGTCAATAAATTTTGGAGCTCCGCAATCTCCCAATCTTGCATGTTCCTTCTAAGTGAGAGGTCCCATACTACCCCCTACATGCTCCTTACGAATCTGTTGGACCATCAATTCCCTCTGGTTTGAAACTCTGAAGACGTGGGGAAAGAGACCCTCAGAGTATCCTCTCCACACCACCTATGATTCCAAAAGCTGATTCTCTTTCCATCACCCACCCTGTAAGAGATGTTGCCACTGAAGGATTCCTAATTCTTCATGATGCTCCTCCACATGCCACACTCGAAAGGTGTTGTGATTGCCTTGGTCCTCCAACCCCCTTCCGTGGAATTGTACTTTTCTACTATGACCTCCCTCCAAAGAGCATGCTCTTCTACCCCGAATCTCCACAGCCATTTCCCCAACAAAGCTCTGTTGATACCCTAAGATCTTTTACTCCAAGTCTACCCCACTTCTTTGGGGAAGTGACTGTCTGCCAATTCACTAGATGCTACTTTCTAGTTCCTTACACTGCATCCCAAAAAAAAATTCCTTTGAAGCCGCTCTAGTTTTTCTGTGATACTCACAGGAGCTTGCAACAGGGACAAGTAATAGGTGGGTATACTCGATAAAGTGCTTTTAATGAGCACCTCCTTTCCGCCTTTTGACAAGTACCGTTTCTGCCAGCCTGCTAATCTTTTTTCAACCCTTTCGATCACTGGATTCCAAACTGTAGTATCCTTATGTGAAGCGTCCAATGGGAGACCCAGGTAAGTAGTGGGAAGGGAGCTCACCTTACATTTGAGAACATAAGACAAAGCATCGATGTTAGCAACCTCACCCACCGGGAAAATCTCACACTTGCCGAGGTTGATTTTTAGACCTGATACTATCTGAAACCACTGCAGGACCTGTTTCAGGTAGGTCAACTGATCCATATCGGCGTCACAGAAAATCAGGGTGTCATCCGCAAAGAGCAAATGAGAGACTCTTCGGGCACCGGGCACCCTGATCGGAGCTGAGAATCCTCTCAAGAAGCCTCCGCCCGCCGCTCGATCCATCATTTTGCTCAAAGCATCTATCACTAGAATGAATAACATTGGGGATAGGGGGTCTCCTTGCCCGAGACCCCTGGAGCTGCTAAAGAAACCACACAGGCTACCATTAACCAGGACAGAGAATCTGACTGAGGAAATGCAGAACTTGATCCATCCCCTCCATCTTGCCCCAAACCCCATTCGCATCATAATGAGATCCAGGAACTCCCAATTGACATGGTCGAAAGCCTTCTCAAGGTCCAACTTGCATAGTAAGCCGGGATCTCTATTTTTCTTTCTGGAGTCTACAAGTTCATTTGCCACCAAAGTGGCATCCAGGATCTGCCTATCTTCCACAAACGCATTCTGGGAGGACGAAACAGACACGTCGAGAACCTTCTTGAGTCTATTGAAAAACACTTTAGAAATAATCTTGTAAATGCTCCCCACGAGACTAATAGGTCTGTAGTCACTGAGAGAAGATGCACATTCTTTCTTAGGCACAATAGTGATAAAAGAAACATTGATACTTCTCTCAAAAACACCATTCACATGGAAGTATTCAATGGCTTCCATCAACTCCCTCTTGATGGTGTCCCAACAGAGCTGGAAGAAGGCCATGGAGAAACCATCTGGGGGCCTTATCACCAGCACAACTCGACACAGCCTCGTGCACCTCCTCCTCCTCGAAAGCCCTTTCTAGCCATTCACTGTCTCCCTCCCCTATGTGGTTGAACTCTATTCCCCCAAAGTCGGCCTCCAACTAACTTCCTCTTTGTATAAGTTCTCATAAAACCCCACTATCGCCCCTTTTACCTCCTCCTCTCCCTCAATCCTCACCCCATCCACAACTAGGACTCTATGAAATTTCTCTTTCGATTTGCAACCGCCACCCTGTGGAAAAATTTGGTATTCAAATCCCCTTCCTTTAACCATAGCGCCCTCGATTTTTGCCGCCAACTAGTCTCTTGAGCTATTGCTAACTCGACTATTTCCCTCTTAACCTCCCCCAATCTCTCTTTCTCATATTCATCTAACTCCCTCGCCCCTTCCCCCCTCTCTAGATCCCCCAATTCATGCATAAGCTCCCTCATTTTAACCTTTACCATCCCAAAAACCTCCTTATTCCACCTAATAATATCTCCCTTGAGCAATTTAAGTTTCTTCGAAAGACGGAATGAAGGTGTCCCTGATACCCCGTAGCTTGTCCACCATTCTTTCACCTTGTCACCAAATCCTAGCACCTTCAACCACATGTTCTCGAATCGGAAGGAAGCACGCACCCCCCTCCCTCTGCATCCATCTAGCAAGATAGGCAAATGATCCGAAGTCAGCTTAGGTAAAGGAATCTGCAGCACATTCGGCACCAGCTCATCCTAGGAGGGCAATATTAGAAATCTTTCAAGTCTAAACCTTGAGTTGGAATCCTTTGCCCTGGCCCAAGTAAACCTTTCCCCTGATAGAGGAAGATCAATGAGAAAGTGATCATTGATGAAGTCAGAAAACTCCTCCATGGCCCTCGAAAACATACTACACCCTAATCTCTCCTCCGGGAATCTAATAGTGTTAAAGACTCCCCCCAGAACCCATGGAATGTCCCATTCCCCCATCATATTGGCCAGTTCCTCCCAGAAAAACACCTTGGACCCTTCTCCTACCGGTCCGTACACTCCCCCAAATCCCCACTCCACCCCACTCACTCTATCTTTGGCAAGAACTGCTAAAAAAAACTCCCTTCTTAATCTCCTTTATCTCCAAGCTTCTATCATCCCACATTAGAAGAATGCCTCCGGCACTTCCCACTGCTGGAACCCAGTCATATTTTACCCAACTACCTCCCCAGATACTCCTCACAATCACATCCGACAAAACTTCCATTTTTGTCTCCTGAAAGCAAACTAGGTTAGCACCCCACTCTCTAACTC